TTGGTGTAGGGAATAATAACACGTGAGCCCACTGAAAAGTAATCGCGGGTTCTAACAGCAACTTAGGCTTCGAGTTTTTCTCACATCTCAGAATCCCTGCGATTGTATTTCACATAATACCCTGCCATGGGGCCCGTGTACCGCAGAGGTTGGAAGCGTCCTTCAATACACATGAGATCGATCTCCGCGCCCCAGGCCTACCAAGCCCTCTTTCCTTCCGAGGTCGGCAAATTGGTACCACACCTGTCTAGGAGTATAACAGCACTGGCCCGATAAATCGGTGGACCACCATAAGTCGTTGTAAAGGCCAGAGATGCATTCAGTCACCTCCAACGATGCTTAATGAAGTCGAATGCATGGTGCAACCTTCAGAGATTGATCGACAGCTTTGTTCTTTTATTTAAATATAGCTATATATATTATATATTATATTTAAATATAATATATAATATATATAATATATAATATAAATCATACAATCTATGACAAAAGAGTATGTCCACATAGGTCGCGTCTGGCGCAGTGGTTGCAGGCGCCACCGCGACACACACGAGTCGATCCTAGCGCCCATAACCCACCGAGCCTTCCATCCCTCTGTGGCGGCAACTCGGTACCAGACTTGTGTGGGAGGATAGGAGCACTGACTCGATACATCGGTAGGTCACCGCGAGTCATTATAAAAGGCCAGATATGCATTCTATCCCCTCCAACGATACTTAATGATGTTGAATGCATGGCGCATCCCCCAGGGATTGATGAACGCCGAGAGCTTTATCCTTTTTTATGTCTACATATCATTGGCCGCACACGTTTACCAGTAAACTCATTTTTTTGTCTAGCAAATTTTTTGAAGATGCTTTGCATTTCTCAGCTGGCTTGCCGTGTTACACTCCTTGTTATTAAATTACAACCTTTGTTTAACATTCTTGCAACTTATAGCACACGGCTAGTGAATCTTGAGAGTTTTCGATAACCGTAAAAAAACTTTTGAGGTGCAAGAGGTCGAAGATGTTGAGCAAGGAACAACAAGTTCAGCGATTTCTGAAATACACTCTCTAGCATAGTCTTCCTCTCGGACATCGGCAAAGAAATGCCGAAGTCGTTGCAAAACTCCCGTCAAGATGTTGGTGTGTCCTATCTCTGTTATATCGTCTCGTATTTCAGTGCTTTCACACTAGCATGTGGCTGGTTGGTTATGATAATTTAGTGCAACTGAATTTTACACACCCCACGTCAATGTAATGTCGTTCAGGGTTTCTTATTTATCGTCAACTCCAATCACTTCAAGTACTTTGTAAACTGATCATTGGAGTGAAGGATTAAGAAGTCTTTCTGGGTTTCGAATTACAATAGGAGAAGGTTAATCCTCAACAGGAGTCATTCACACTGAGATGGACTTTGTCGTTCGTATTCAGAGTTAGGCAGTGTAACTTAATCCGATGGAAAGGATTACTCATTCTGCCATTGTCAATCATGCAAGCTGACATTCTTAATAGCTTTACATATACAGCTCACAAACATCATATACTCTGTTGAATCGAAGGATAAGGTGTTTCGTCGTATCAGTCCGTCCGTAGCAAAGATATCACAACGTGCATGGAAAATGGAACAAGCACGTCTAATAGTTGTAAGTCGGCGCGAATGAGGTTTCTTTTTCCAGCAATCTAAAACAGTCCTTTTGATAACCAATATGACTTACGTGGAAGATAAACTCGTTTAATTCTTCGCATTCTTGTTCAGCAAACGCGAGGTGTTATTCTATTCTTTATTCACGAACAAGCTGACGTTTCGGCGGATTTCGCCTTCCTCAGAGCCTGGAAAGATCAAGTTGATAGCAGTCTTGCCCCAAAAGGCCAAACACCTCCATAACCAAACAGAGAAGATGCTAAACCAAAATTTCAATCACATTTAACACAGCTCTGCACACTCACCGCTTTCCATGAGTCTTCAACTAAATATGTAACGTGGAGATCAACCGCACAGAGTTCATATGGAATCGTAATGTGCTCCTCCCATCAGAATAACAGGCTTATATACTGGCTAACATCACGCATGATAATGAGGCATTCCTCACTGCGGCTCATTTTCCGATTTCTGGAATTAATCCAGAACGCCTCGAGAGTTTTGCACGCTTGTGTTCTCGATTCATGTGCGAGGATCGGTAAGCTGAAAAATCGGTAAGCGTAGTTCAAATGCTACCGAGTAATCTAAGACGCCAGCTAGTTCGTAACCGCCTATGCGATCGTCTATGTGCAACGTAAACTTGCATAACTTGCCCTAATGATAGAGACGGTGATTGCATGACCTCGGGTACAGTTTATTTAATCTCCTGTAAGGCGTGCGGAGGCAAATACATTGGCGAAACGGATAGAGCACTCTGCATCCGCATAAAAGAACACCTATCGGCAAACGTAAACCAAATACCTCACTAGGCATGCATAGGGCCCAGAGACATAACAGGGAGGACTTTGAAGTACGGGTCACGATCCTCGCACACGAATCAAGAACACAAGCGCACAAAACTCTCGAGGCGTTCTGGATTAATTCCAGAAATCCAAAAATGAACCGCAGGGAAGAATGCCTCATTATCACGCGTGATATTGGACAGTATATAAACCTGTTATTCTGATGGGAGGGGCATATTACGCGTCCATGTGAATTCTGTGCTTGGTCTCCACGCGACATTCTCAGTGGAAGCCTCATAGAAAGCGGTGAGTGTGCAAAGAAACTATTCTGTGTTCAGTGTGATTAAAATCTTGGTTTAGCGTTTTCTCTGTTTGGTTATGGAGGTGTTTGGCTGAAGACCTTGCTGTCAACTTGACCTTTCCAGGCTTTGAGGAAGGCGAAATACGCCGAAACGTCAGCTTGCTCGTGAATAAAAAGTAAAAGAACGCGTTTGCTCAACAAAAATACGAAGAATTAACTGATCAGTGCCGAGGTTAATAGAAAGTCGGTCGTGAGATTTATTACGAAACTCGTCTAAGTTGATCGTCCTAGACCTCATAGCTTCAACCCCTTCGGCATGAAAGTTGAGCTATGGCGAATTGGACTATTGGTCCTGGATCGCTACCCGGAACTTCCACGTGCGACGGTCTCACTCCACGAAGAACTAAAGTGAACCTCAATCCGGTTTTGGTGCCTATATGTCACACATGAGCGTCATAGGTAGCAACGCGCCGAAAGTTTCCGGTCATAAAGTGTTCTGTTGCAACTCCCCTAACCGGAGATTCAGCGCAGTCATCTAAAACGTAGGTAATCTTCTCCGGGTGGTGAACATTCGTGATGATCGGCTAATCACGAATATATGCACATGGAATTGTTAAGTTTCTGTCCAATGTCGGACATTTGTGATAGCTTCATAAGACTAGAAACGATCGAAATTCTTGATATCATCACACTGTTTGAACTCCCGTTTGGGTTGTCGAAATAGCATTTAGTTCAAAAATAATATCAAACTTCTACGGGATAGAGTTCGAGACCATATGAACATTGTCAAATGGATTGACTAAGTATATCATGAGAGGAAAGCAGCTAGGAAGGTACCTAAGCAGCAAGGTAACAACTATGTGGTATCACAGAGGAATCAGCCTTTGGAAGCAAAGATATTCATAGAACATAATAACCTGGGTGACACTTCCATTACTCTACTGGTGTACTCGATGTTTCTAAGAGCTGAACCCTAACACCTTACACTAGTAATGAAACACCACTGCAACGAAGATGAACAACCACTGGTGGGCAGACTATTCTCTGTCTCACAAGTAGTGTTCCCTATCTTGTTGTTTGCACACACTTCAATGAGTGGTTTAATCTATCCTTCGTTTGAAAATATATTACCTAATGTTTTAACTTTTGTCTCGTTCCTATTCTTTGCTTATACATTTACTAAAGTTAAAATGTTGTGATTTCGACTAGAGGTTCAACTTAACTGGGGTTCATTGCCGATTTATGCTCTATGTAACATTCCCGTTGACGGCCGATCTCGCATAGCACCGATGGAGTACAACATGCTTAAGAGTAAGGTAGAACTACCACCTCAGTTGGCGTAATGGAGGGTATGCAAGCCTCCGCTAAGGTGTTTTGCTCACATCTCCGTATCCTTGTCGTTATAAATTACATAGTTTTGTCTGATTATTTTTTCGTATAAACTGGACAGACTGTACTTACTGCATAGCGTCTTATCTGAGGCATTTTCTCGCATTCACTGTGATATGTTTTGAAAACAGCCTTGCCTCGTCGATCTTCACTGGAAAAAAACTTCAGATTATTTTCTTGTCAAGTGATAGCTCTTATTCAGCTATGGTTCTATCACCATCAAGCTTGTCGTTATTTTGGACAATGGTGTAATTGCCTTGTATCGAGCTCAATTATATTCATTCAGTTCTCGAATTCTTCTAGCAAAATCTGAGACTCTTTTCTTCTGTAATTGTTGCAAGTCATGCTATGTTACTGTTGTTCTATAATTTATACAATACTACCTTTACTTAAGTATGAAATCCAAATAGAGGAGCATATACGAAGTCGTGCGTGGCAGCACACCAGAGCTGGCTGTTCCCCGCTGGTGGACTGGTAGAGTTAGTAGTTGTAAAAAGTTCGGATCCAGATATAATGCACCTGAAATGTTAGTAAACTTTCCATATTTTTCATTACCAGTGATGTCATACCGGGAGTTTCTTCACGGTCAGAGAAATGAGAATCATTGTTCCTGATAATGAAATCCTATAGGTAACCTGTTAAGCTTTCCCAAGGCAGAAACGCATATTTGTTCGAGGAAACTCCGAGCCACTTCCTGAAACACTTCATAGGGGCATAATAATATCTTTTTATACTCAGATGAACTATTCGACGCGACAATCACAATGACGTCAACTCCAGCTCTTACCAACAATTTTAGCGCTTTTTTTGGACGTCTTCCTGATGCTTACAACAGCTTCACACAAGTGACAAATTAACAAATTAAATTAACATAACTTGCCCTTCGAATTGTAGGACGCCATCGATCATGAGCATTCAGCAACTCTGATCGACAATGCGATGAGTTCACATTTGTCGTTGACAATAGGAAGTTCACCTGGCCAGTTGTCTTCGAGAATCTTCTGCCCCTTCTCTATGGTTGGTGATATGTCACCCAGAACGAGTTTACTACCATTGACTATAATATCGGTTATTGGTGTCCGTTTTTTAACTTCCATGTCTACGCCAATGAAATCGAAATTGCGAGATGTAATCATAGCTACTAATTTTGAACTGACTTTCACAGTTTCGATGACTGGCGCTTCAGTATAACCGCCATTCTTCTTGATCTGCAGCATATCCCAGAGACCTGGAAGTGGTTTTAGGCAATGCGGCTGCATCATGAAACCTTGATTGAAACGCTCAACTTTGAACACCTCAGCAGCTTTATCTTTCCAGGTCTTCTAATATTGCGAAGACTGCAAGTATAATACCCATATCACCGTAGAGTGCCATGGCGATCGCCATTCCGTTTTCCGTTACCGTATTCGTGGCCGAGGACATCAAAGGCGTATTTATTCGGTTATTTTCCGTTATTTGTGTGTCGAGCTTCACATCATGAGCAGGAAAGTCGATCACACTAGGAAGGATGTCGCAAGGATTGTATGTGAGCCCGTCATGATATAACATGAGCTCATGTCTGGACTCACAGTGGGCCAAGTCCGTTTCGTTCACGACGAACCTCCAAATCCATTAGAACACGAATTTATGTGGTTTAATCACCCAGATTAATTGTTGTTCTGATCGATAGCAACACCACTTGCGCGAAAGCTCTAAGCTTCTTCCTTTCGTGTGGAGAATCTACACACTTGTGAAACAGTTACCTTGTTTGATTCGTCACGTTAAGACTTCACTGATGTTTCTGTAACGTTTCCTCATTATGAGTCCCTTAAAAAATTTCTCTGCTGTTATTTAACCACACCACATCCACTAATCACACTTTGTATTGACATTTTGGTTGAGTAAGGGTTTAATTGCCCACGTTTGATTGAAATTAATTCTAAGAAGGCAATGTACGCCTCCGATAATATTACACAGGAAGGCTATCGTTCCACGCTGCTTCGCTCGCTGCAAGGTTCTCAAATTCGTCTACGAAGCAAAAAACACTGACGTGGTCACCTGTTATCATCAGGAATTCGTCGTGGGTATTACATCTCGTTGTGGTCATGTGTGGCGTAGCAGTTGGAGGCACCTTGCAATATAGACGTACTCCTCTGCTCAAACGGACCAACCAAGCCAGCTATAACACCCGAAGTTAGCAAATTGGCATTAATCTTGGCTGAGTGGATAGAACCCTTGATTTGCTATATCGGCATATTAAGACAACCCACTCTACAGGTTAAATATGGCTTCAATCACCTCGACGAGCATTGTTATGAATGGATTCGAATGCGTAGAACATTCCTAAAGGATTCACCAGTGCTAAACGTTTCGTTATTTCCTCTTTATTACCTCGACATTGATGCAGTATTTTGTCTACGCTCCTCTCCAGCTGAAATCCAAAAATCCACCTAGAGGTCCTCGTTACCCTCGTCGCTGCTCTCGTTTTGGAGGGGCACACTTATTCCACTAAATCCACTTATTATTACATATTACACTTGCAATCCAAGGGAACCGAAAGTATTTTGGTACGTGTTAGCTACAAATATTCTGGTTCCCTCCTATTTATGGACCCATATGAATACAATGCGGCAACAAGTAGGCCTGTAATAGGTATACTATATTATTTTTCCCACATTACTTGTTTTCAAGGCGTAAAAACACATGGAAAGTTCTACCACTTCACTTCACAACCAATCAAGACATCGCCGACTTTCGATTTCTTCAGATGTTCTGACGGCAACTAGTACCCATTTAAAATAAGACCTATGTTTAGTTAATAATCTACTCTGGCTGATTTTTGAGCCCTCACTCTTCTTCGTTTGGAAAACCCATCTCAAAAATGACATTACTTTGTAGTTACTGGCGGTCCGCACCTTCAGAACGCACTATCTAATTTACGTGCTGATTTCGTAATTTCTTATTGTTCCTTAGACTTAATTTTACTTTATAACATTCTGATATTTACACGGGAAAATCATGTGGGTTTACTGTCATATTTTTTCCTGCAAATGTGAATCGTCTTTAGTGTGGACTTATTACGAAGTGGTGTGACTTGAAGTAAAGTTTCCATCCAAATACTTAAGAAGATCTTCGTGACTTAGCAGCCGTTAAAGTTTACCGCTCCCAGTTACAGAGTAATTTTTGTTTTTTTGCCGCCTGAGCATTTGAAATCCTGACAGTTCTTGTTGCAGAGCATTCTTGGGTGGTTCAGGTTATTCTTTAGATGTTTTCCTTTCCTTCTGTCTTTAGTCTTTAGAGAATTAAGTAAATAAACACGCTTAAATACATAAAATACTGAGTAGGATAAGCTTATTTTCTTTAGAGTAATGTGAGAACTTGAACTGGCAATACGTAAACAAGTTTTCAGCGTTTTTGCCACCTTTACACTTTACTCCTATCATTTCTGTTGTTCACACTGGTTAGCATTTTTGCACCAGGTGCACATGTCTCTCATATTTTCTTTAGATGTGACTTCTCTTGGCAGACCCCCACACAGGGTTTTCTGATGTGAGATTACTGTTTGTTTCGTATGTTTAGTAACTGTTCTGCTTTACTGACTCATAGACTAGAAGGAAGAGCAAGTTATCACCATTACGATCGTGTAAGATTATCGGAAGAGAGCGTTCTTGTGCTTTTATCATGACCGTTGGAGATTGTATCGAATAGTAGAAGCTTATCTGTTCGGTGTAGTTTAGTACTGCCATAGCAACGGCGACCGTAGCGGTCGCGAGTGTTCTCGTTCGGCCGTTTGTTCGCCCGTACTGACTCACTACGCTGTGTGGGAAAATCGTCCTACTAACATTGTCAAATGACTTTTATAGCAGGGTAAGTGCCATGCTTTTTTCTTGTTTAAGTACTGGGACTTAATTTCAGTACCTAGACTGAGATAAAGTTTAGAGCTATGTTTAACTTACAACAAGAATTGGCTTATTTCATCCGTAAAGACGTATAGTTACGACTTTAGCAAGTTTTACCACTGTAAAACCATTAGTCATAATCGCGTTTAAGGTCTTAAGCATAAGGTTCTTTCGATTAGTCTGGTCCTTACTTGCACATGTGGTCTCACCCCACGTTTCCGCGGTTTTTCGCACTCTTTCGAATGACTTGGTCCACTAATGGCTTTTGTTTCCTTTTTTGTTTAATTTAGAATATCTGAAGTCCACACGGAAAACAATAAGGCAAGATATCTTGTTTTGTTCCTGTTTCTGCATTTGAAAACGTATCATTCCAGATCATTCCGGTCATATTCTAAGTTTATTTCGAGATATGACTTTAGAACCCCCTGAATAGAACTTGTAAGCTTTCTATTAAGTGTTTATTAGTGTTAATTTGCAATTCCTTAGACGAGTTTATGGGACGTGTGTAGCGCAATGGTCGGAGGCGTCCTGCAATACACAAGGGATCGATCCCAGCGCCCCAGGCTCACCAAATCTTCTATCTTTCCGATGTCGGTGAATTGGTACCAGCCTTGTCTGGGAGGATAGCAGCCCTGACTCGGTACATCGGTAGACCACCTCAAGTCGTTTTAAAGAGCAGATATGCATTCAGTCATCTCCAAAAGTGCTTAGTGAAATCGAATGTATAGCGCATCGCGCAGGAATAGATCAACGCTGAGAGCACTATTCTTATCCTTTGGACGAGTCTATTGAATTTCCCATTTTTTGGTATGAATGAGAAGAGGTGAATACACCTTTATTCTACTGTTCCTTTTTTTCTCTACTATTTTTCGAAGTGTACTTCTTACGCAGTAGTCTACTTTAAAGGCTGGACTGTAGATAGAAGCTGAGCGCCAGTTATTTGCAAAGAAATTGGGCTGAAGTGCATTTTTATTTTCAGAATTCGATCAGAATCTTTTCACTTTCTAAGTCAACTGTTTTCAGCTCACTATTTCTGCTGTGCCAAATCGTCACCTTCGTGGCCATATTTGCATTCTTGGTGTTTCCTTTACTAGTGTTCTCCGTCCCGACTGTGATAGTGAAGATGTTCTTCCTGAATTTCAGTACGTTTCCATTGGTTTTTCAGACTCTGTTTCGTTTTTATAATCATGTGTAGCTCTTTAAAGAAACTCACTTGGTCGAGCAGCATGTTTTCTGGTCAGTTTTTCCCATTTCTTAGTTTAAGACCTTTTAGCGTCGTTCTTTCTCAAAGAATTTGAAGAAGTTGCGCTTAACTGTTAGTGTTCTACTAGACGAAATCAGTTTACATGTACATATTTTGGCGACTGTGCAAGAAGCTTGAAGCATTTTGTTTTCCTCAAAGGGGAAAGTTTCGCTCAAACTCCTGGAAATTGTGTAAATTGGTTTCATGCTAAACCTATTAAGAAGCAGTTTGAGTTTAAAGTACTACTCAAGTAAATGTATCCGTTTGTTGATAAGCACAGATTGTTACGAAACGAGATCGAAACCCGTAGTTGTTCTTGTGGTGTTCCCTTTCAACTCGATTCCACTCGATTTGAGCAAGGGGGTCCAAATTCCTCGGAAAACCTCTTCGGGCATTCGACTTGAATTGTTGCCGCTCTGAAGCAAACGACGACAGCGAAACGTTGGATACATAAGGATTTTGCCACATACTTGTGCAAATTTATCAGTGAACCAAGTTATTGATTTTGCAAAGGCGAAATTGAATGGAAGTCGTTTTTTAAAAGTTCTAATACCTCCAGTATTTTGTTTATTTTCGAGTTCTCATGCTTATATTTGAGCTATTCATTGGAGATGTAATGTCCTACAATGTATTACAATCCCTTGCAAAAGGTGGTCGCTATATTTTTGTAACTGCGGTCAATTAGTTCATTCTTTAGCAGATGTCGTTAATAGAGCCGCGTATACCTTTCCATGATAAATCAGTTAAGTTACGTTATTGACCAGTAATCGATAGCCCATTTAGGAAGAATGCCGTTGACGGATTATATGAATGTCTCAGCGAACGATGTGAGATCCATAGGACGAGCATTTTATCTTCGTGGTGAGGAGGGAAATATAGGCATTTGGTTGGTGTTCACTGTTAATAATCTACCTTAAAGCTAGGAACACACAGTGGTCGTTTGTCTATATTCCATTGCGTAAATGTATAGGCATGTGTTGCCGTTATCACTATCATCAATGTATCGCGAGAAAGGTGTCCATCCAGCTGATGACGAAATGGAAACGTTGTTATCGGAGGAGAAATACCCGATCATTTTGTACTTACATGGAAATTCTTTCGATAGGTATATTGTATTCTTATTCTCTGCGGTTTTTTCTAATAATGGGAATGAAAAAATGTCTTGAAGGGCCATATCGCACCGGGTTCAATTGTACAATGTGCTAACCACGTTGGGTTATCATGTGGTCACATTTGACTATAGAGGTATTACGTTCTTGTTGACTTCTCGTCCTTCTGCTCCTGTGAATAGATGAATTCGAACTGGAAATCCTAAGCATGCACTCGATCCTTCTTTAGGCTATGGTGACTCAGATGGATATCCAAGTGAACATGGTTTGGTCAATGATAGCTTCTTGGTCTATGACTACGTGAAAAATCTTTGCGTGAAAAATCTAGTCATCATTTGGGGTCATTCTATGGGAAGCGGGTGAGCTATTTTTTAGAAATTTTTTCGCCGCAGTTTTCCTGCTTCCTATTTCTTTTTCTTGTCTTCAGGGTCGCGACGAAGTTAGCTATGGATCTGTCTATAGATGGTCGACCACCTCATGGGCTCGTTCTGGAGTCACCGTTTAACAATCTCCGAGACGTTATTATGAATCATCCATTGAGCTTAGTAAGTTTCTCACTGTAGTTCTTTATGTTGACCATATCTACGTTCTGTATATTTTCAGTCTGTACGATGGATGCCCGAAACTTTGGTTCAAAGGCTAATAGTGCAACCGCTGAAGAAAGTTGGCCTCATCATGAAAACTGATGAACGCATAGCTAAGTAAAAATACCGCTTCTTTTGGCATACAATATCAAGTGAATACTGCGATGCTGATTCAGGCCAAACTTATCTTTACTTGGATACATAGATGGCCCGCCTTCATTAGTTGTACTGACTCCAGCATAATTTCCGTTTTTTCGGAGTTTTGCTGGTTCAGTCATTGCGGTTCCCCAGAGTGCCGAAAACAGCCTGGCCTAATTCTGCCCCAGGTCATGACCATCACAGGCAGTCGCAGCGCTTGTGGATCAGAGGGAGATTTGCGACTAATATGACACCAGGGCGGTGGTGGATTCTGGTATTAGTTTACTCTTAGTCCCCTCGCTCTACATCGCAGCCCAACACCCAGGAACACATCCCAGCTACGATGAGGCAGTAAATCGTTGGGAGGGAACTTATTTAGCTTGTCTTTTTCATTCGTTGAGGTAACTGGTTGCTATGCCTATGTTTCTGGCTTAATCTGAACTAATGCACATATAGAAGTTGTATGGTGATAAATTTAGTGGCATAGAAGCACTTGTTGTTTTTCAGCGTTGATTGTCCAATACTGATCTTACATGCCGCCGACGATCCGGTCATACCGGTGAAACTTGCCCGGAAACTTAGGGTGAGCGATTAGTAAAGTATACTTTTTGACATAACATCTTTACGTAAGTGGTGGATGTCAGTATTGTCTAGTGCATGTCCGTCATTCATACTGCTAGAAAAATTTGTAGAATGCGGGATTGGCTTCCTCTCGGGACATTAAATATGTGGAATTCGAAGAAGAGAGGAATTGCAGGCATAAATTTATTTATGTGGCTCCAGAACTGCGGAAAATTATCCCGTGGGTTGTGTTTATGGACAGATTATCTTAGGCGATTTCAGAAGTTTTTATAATTTATGGAAATGTTTTGAGCAATTTCTGATGCACTGGCAATGCGACAATTTCAGAGACTTCGTTGCTCATTGCCGACAAATGCAAAAGGTCTCTGTTTAGTTCATCACGTTCTCCTTTCTCTTTGAGATATTACGGTATGTTGAACGAGTAAGGTTAAAGCTTCATTTTCATGTGTCGTCTGTTTCACTTGACTATCCAGTTAGACTTCTTTTTTCATATCCTATCTGTTCGCTTTATGAAGAAATAGTCCAAGCATTATCATCGTGGTATTGCACGTGATATGTTAAAACGAGTAAGATTTCACCGGTGGTGTTTCGGATTGTAACCATGTTAATCGCGTCATATGATTGCATACCTACTGGTCTAATATGGTCTTCCTAGGTAATATCAAAGTTAACTGTTTCTTTCTTAAATCCATATTCATAGATTCCGGTGACTTGGTTACATTCCTTTCTGGTTTGGCCGGATTACGTGGTATTGTTTACTATGATCGTTTATTATGATCTAGTCTCTCTTTCAGAGTTTTGATAGGTTCTTATCATTCAAGAGTTTCACTGAAAGAATTTTTCCATCTTTCACTTATGTGGTAATATTCGTTTTTGTATTCTATTTAATGATTTAATGTAATCACTTCAATAAATTTCGTCCCGTGTTCGCCGTTCTGTTATAGAGAGATTAACCTGGTATTTAATAAACACACCGTATCTGTAGGGCACGTGTGACGCAGTGGTTGGAGGCGCCACTGTGACACACACATGGAATCCATCCCCGCGCCCATGGCTCACCAAGCCTTTCATTCCTCCGGGGTCGGCAAATTGGTCCATACTGTTTTGGAGGATAGCAGCACTGGCTCGATACTTCGGGACGCCGCTACGGGTTATTGTAAAGGCCAGGTATGCACTCAATCACTTCTAAACGGTGCTTAGTGAATTCGAATACATGGCGCATCCCTCGGGGATTGATCAACACCGAGCTTTATCTTTTCTTTTAACCATATCTGTAGAAAAAGCTCTTGGCGCTGATCAATCCCTGAGGTATGCGCCATGCATTCGACTTCATTAAGCATCGTTAGAGGTAATTGAATCCATATCTAGCCCATATAATGCCTTGAGGTGACCTGCCGATATATTGAGCCAGTTCTATTATCCTCCCAGATTAGTCTGGTACTAATTTGCCGACCTTGGAAGGCTTGGTGGGCATGTGGCCCTGGAGATCGATCCCATGTGTACTGAAGGACGCCTCCGATCACTACCCTACACGCGGCCCCATCGAATTTGTATATGTGAATTTGTATTAACACATGATTCTAAAATGTAGTAAATACGAGAGTCTTTTTCACTGTTCAAAAAATTTCTTTGTGGTATTAGTGATTAGCAGAAGTGTTGTCGAAAATGAGATATAACGTATCCTTGTACTCATTCCTTTCCATGGTGTAAAGCTTCATAGTGGATGTGTGTTTCTGGATGTTCAACTGTGATCCACAACTTGGTTTCGTCCTGCAGCAATTTTGTCTAGTACGACATTTCCATCCGGAAACTCAGTGATAGATAAGGCATTGCCTTACACTTTGTTTTTAGATGGAATCTACTCTCAACGTGATAAGCGTTCTTCCGATGCAAGGACACAGACGACATTCTATGATGAGAACCTGTATACGTCTCAGTGCATTATAGATTGCTTGTGACTTCAGACAAGAAATCTTGCTCAGCTAGCAACATAAAAGGAGACTGGGACATATACTCTGTTCCGTGGGATTGTTCATGAAGATGCCTTTTTAAAGTACTCAAGTACTAATGGTTACATTTTATTACCGTTCGCTATGAATTTTCTGTCAAGCTTCTTGGATTTGTAAGATTACGCTGCCGCCATCGCTTTTAAGATTAACATTGGAGAGATAAAGCTTTGTAGTTTTCGCAATCGAAAATTCATCATTGCCAGGACAACATGAGCAAGAAAAAGTATCCTTGGTCACAGCTCGTATAAATGCTCAAGCAGTGGAAGTATGTAACGGTAACGAATTCGCAGAAAATTACAGCATTGAAACCAATGATCTTCGGGGAAATAAGGTGCTAAGAAATTTGTGTTTTCTATTTCACCAATGATATTTCACTTCGCTACTATATAGGGCTGGGAATTCGTCCAATGGGCATAAGTGAATTGCACTGGTGAGAACACCTCGATCCCGTCCCGCAAAAGGTAGTCTAACAAAATGACTATCTGAAAAGATCCTTGGCGTCTATAAAGTGTTGCCAACATGTTAGAGATGAAGAGAGCTTGGAAGCAGAGGATTTCTCTCAAACTTTAGATGGGCACAGTATTGAGGTCGACTGGTGGGAATGTGTGGCTACAGTAGACATGGTGGCTATGATGTCGTGGACTAAAAAATTATCACAATCGTTAACACTACGTATTTTATCTGCTTATCATTTACATGGGTGCGTATGGACTAGCGGTCGGAGGCGCTCTGCAACGCACGTGGAATCGATCCGGCGCCCATGGCCCACGAAGCCCCCATCTCTCCGGGATCCGAAAATTGCTGCCAGAATTGTCTCGGATATGCATTCAATCACCTCCAAACGATGCTTAATGAACTCGAATGCATGGCGCACCTCTCAGGGTTTGATCAACGCCGAGAGCTTTATCCTTTTTTATTATCCTTTTCATTTACATGGGTATTCCTAGCGTGTGGAATAGATCTTAAAAACATAAAATCTGCGTGTTCGATATCAGCGTTTCCATCGGGATCTGAAAGATTACCAGATTTGAGCGGTAATGTTGTTTGTCTTGACGAGTTTGACCGTAAATGAATCGTCGTTGGATTTCCATAGGTGACGACACAAATAACTGCTGTGGGAACAATTCTCGCATAGATGAGAGACCTTAAAAACGTTCATTATGAATTTTTAAGTAGTTGACTTCGATCAAATACTTGTGCATAACACTTTCATTGCAAGAGTACAGTGAAGATGAACATCCACTCTTATTCAAACACCAGCAATGGACTCGAGAAACTGAAAATCTGTACCTCGTGGAATTTGGGAACAGTAGTAACGATAATCTTAACTCATTTATTTACTGCCTTTTTCTTCTTAATGGCGGGGTATGTTGTGAAATACAACTCGTATGAAGTGCTGAGATATCTGCAAAACTCCGAACCACAGGTGTATGCAGTGGAGGACGAACACGCGCTGTTGTCCTTACCGGGGAGCAGCGCACTTCACCACTACACCATCCGGGTCCTTCGCTTTGCATGTATCTCTGCTAATTCTATCGAT